AACTTCCTTAATGATTTCTGTGATCTTGTGGCAGACTGCATCCTAAAATATGATTATGTCCTATTTTTTGGTGATTTTAACATCCATATCTGCTGTCCTGATAATGTGCTTGCTAAAGGTTTTTTTAATTTGCTAGAGTCATTCAATCTAACTCAATGGGTATCATCCCCAACTCATGCCAGGGGTCACACCCTGGACCTGGTTATCTCTTATGGTCTACCCATCATGAACCTTGTGACTTTTCCTCCTGTGTTCTCTGACCACTCTCCAATACTCTGTGATGTTACGTTGCCATGTCCTGTCCCTGTGTGTGAAGCTCCCGCTACTAGGTTCAGAGCCCTGGATGCAGAAACTATTTCAAAGTTTGTGGACTGTATGTCCGTAAGGTTAGAGACCTTTAACCCAGATCCATCTAACGTTGATCACTATTCACATCACTTTGATGTACTTTGTAATCAGGTCCTGGACGTGGTTGCCCCTCTCAAGCTTTGCAAGTCTCGGCCTAGGAGGGAGCCTTGGCTCTCTGATGTCACACGGGCTTGTAGGCGGGCGTGTAGATCCTCTGAGAGAAAGTGGAAAAAGGATGGCCTACAGGTCTCGCGTGAGTTGTTCAGAGCATCTCTGGTTGCTTATCAGGATGCAGTGAGGGCTGCCAGAATGGCCTATTTTGCAGACATCATTGAGACAAACTCCAATAATCCTAAGATTCTCTTCAAAACGCTAAACTCAGTTCTGGTGTATCAGGAGCCTAGCACCATGTCTCCTACAGCTGCTGGAAACTCTGAAGCTTTTCACAAATTCTTTGTTGATAAAGTGTCGGGCATTAGAGCAGCTATTTCTGGTAACTCTGTTGACCCTGTTCCAGTTCATCCAACACCACCCACCCTGAGCTCCCTCAATACTGTTTCATACTCTGAGTTGAATAAGCTTGTTGCGAGGCAGAAGCCATCTGGCTCTCCACTTGACGTTCTGCCGCCTCGTCTCTGGAAGGCTGTCTTTCCGTGCCTTGGCCCTTCACTTGGTCAGATTATCAATGGGAGCCTCAGCACAGGTGTGGTCCCAGCTGCTTTGAAAGCAGCAGTTATTCGGCCGACCCTGAAGAAACCTGGTGCTGATGTCTCTGTGATAGAAAATTACAGGCCTATCTCTACCCTGCCCTTTACATCTAAACTGCTTGAGAAAGTCGTTTATCAGCAGCTGGTCTCACATTTAGCCGACTCTGATCTGTTTGAGGTTTTCCAATCAGGGTTCAAGTCTGGCCATAGCACAGAGTCTGCTCTACTGAGGGTCCTAAATGACATCTATCTATCACTAGATCACGGAACATCTGTGCTGCTTCTGTTATTAGACCTGACAGCAGCCTTCGACACAGTTGACCACGCGATTCTACTTGATCGCTTGGAACGTTGGGTTGGGATCAAAGGGTCAGCTCTGGACTGGTTTAGATCGTATCTCCACGACGGGACATTCTGTGTTAAACTGGGTGATGTTTTTTCTTCTTGGGAGGGGCTCCGGTGGGGGGTCCCGCAGGGGTCGATCCTTGGTCCACTTTTGTTTGCCATTTATCTGCTACCTCTGGGGTCAATCTTTCGTAAACATGGCCTATCATTCCATCTGTATGCTGACGATTGCCAGATTTACTCTCCATTGTGTCAGGAGAAAGGTCACTCTATTCAGTCCTTTGTCTCCTGTGTTAATGAGGTGAAGTCTTGGCTAATGTCCAACTATCTACATCTGAATGAGGGAAAGACAGAGCTCATTGTTTTTCACCCCAACAGCAGGAATGTGGATCGTTATGCTGATCTTGGCCCTCTTTCTCCATACTCAAAACCAGTTGTTACCAGTTTGGGGGTGAAACTTGATGTAGGACTTAAATTTGATGCTCACATCAATTCTGTGATCCGGTCCAGTTTCTTTCACCTGAGATGCCTTGCTAAAATCAAGCATATGCTGTCGAGAGCCCACCTGGAGCGGGTACTGCATGCCTTTGTAATTTCTCGGCTTGACTACTGCAACTCTCTCTATGCAGGGTTGTGTCAGTCAACACTGCGTCGCCTACAGGTTGTGCAGAACAGCGCTGCCAGGTTCCTGACTGGGACCAGGAAACGGGACCACATCAGTCCGGTTCTGGCCTCCCTGCACTGGCTTCCGATTTCCTATCGCTCACAATTCAAAATACTCGTCTTTGTTTATCATTTCTTCCAGGGTGGTGCTCCCCCTATCTGGCCACACTCCTAAACAGACATTCCCCATCACGCGCTCTGCGCTCCTCTGACCAAGGCCTGCTCGCTGTCCCTCGGTCTAGGTGTCGTACCCGTGGGGACCGGGCTTTCTCAGTCCTAGCACCGTTACTCTGGAACCAGTTGCCACCCTCAGTTAGGCTGTCCCCTTCTCTGCCAGTCTTTAAGAGTCACCTAAAAACACACCTCCTCCGCTTGGCGTTTCCAGAACATGTTTGATTATGGCCCTCTATTATGTTGAATCCATTCCACAGTTTTCATTGGTACACTCAATCCATCCACTCAATCCAATTGTGTCTCACACATTTGTATTTTACCGGAATGTTTCATCTATCTTGTAATTTCCATTTTGTATTTTGTAATTTGTATTTTGTAATTTGAATTTCTTTTATTGTTGATTTATTCAGTATAATTACCTACAACTGTACCATGTTCAGCGCTTTGGGCTTCCTGACAGGGTTGCGGAAGGCGCTTTATAAATAAAGATTTGATTGATTGATTGATTGAACTTCAGCAGATGATACGGTGGCTGGAAAGGGTCACCGCGCCTACACCGCAGCCACGGTAAACCCACCGAGATAATATAGTTTTTTTTTAAAACAAGACGGTTATTATTATTGTCAACTTTTTTACCGGGGTTTACTGCTACACCGGTTACCGTGACAACCCTAACACACACACACTCCCGCGGAGAAACATACCGTTTCCATAATTGTAAATGCTGTTTTTTACAGCAAAAGATGGATTTAATAAATGTGAATACTAACAAATACACAGCAACAGGATCAGTGCAGTTTATGGTATCAACAAGCGGGGCAAACTGGTTACAAACGCACGTATGTACACATACACACACACATACAGCAAGGGCACGGGGGGGGGGGGGGGGGGTTGGAAAACAGTAGGCGGGGCAGAAGTGCTTGTTGAAAATTCTTGCCTGATGTGAACACAGGAGGAGCAGACGGCGCACGAATTTTGTGAGAAATTCACTTTGCGCCAACATTTTTAACAACTGGACGTCATTTAATTCATTTTGAACATTTCGCTGGATATTTCCAGAGATTGACGGCTAAAAACTACACACTGTCACTTGAAATCATCTGTTTGCCTTTCAATCAAATGTATGTGTAGTTTTTATAAAGTCTTTTCTCAGATCTCTTTCGGGATCACTAAAGGTCATGTCAGGTCTCTCAGTCAGTGGAAACTTTTAAAAGAACCTGCTTATACAGGAGGGTCGTTAAAGAGGTAAATCTGCTAACTGCAGAAGACCGTTCGGAAGATTAAGCAGACTCTGGAGAAGTGGTAGCTCTCTGCAGCAACTCTTACACAAAGGGAAGGAGGTATTTCCTGTTTCAACAAAATGAACTGCCAGAAGTCCTAAATCGATGAGCTAAAGTAAACAAGCCTGATACCTTGTTGTAAACAAGCCTTGGTGGCTGATAAAAATTGCAAGCTGAAGAGTTTTGGCTTCGATGAGCAAATGTAAAAATAAAAGCCAGATTTTTGCATGCATGTGTTTTCTTTATAAGCTTTAATGGGGACAAAAAAATCAACAACAATGATGAGTAAAGTCAAAGTAGACAACAAATTATAGCCCTTTTGACTAAACTTCGGTCTAATTTGTAACTATTGATAAATCAATGGCTGACTAAGAGCTGTGATAACTACCTTGCTACCATGTTCATCAGGAGGCAAAAGGACAGAAAGCAAACTCTGTTGTAGTTTTCTACATTTCCAGCAAGGTGACATTAGTTAATATTAGTTTTACTGTCTGCAGCGACACAGAGATGCAAGAACAGAGTGTCCAGCAGGAGCGCCATGCTGTTGTTTTCCCTTTTAATATTCCAACAAGTCTTTCGTCCTTCACGTTTAGCCCTGTCATCTTCACAGAACTGTAGCTCGGAAAATAAAAAGTCACAACAATAAATCTGCACTGGCTGATCAAAGCTGCATCCCAGTTTTACCGAAGCAGGAATTTACCTTTAGCAAAGCTGGCAGGTAAATTAGAAAAGAAAAGAATGAATCAATAGCTGCAAAGCTTTTTTCCCATCTGTGTAATCCTCCACCTGCCTACTTAAAGACTATTTTTGTTCAGGAAATGTTCTGCTGTCAGTCGGCCTGCTCTGGTCAGCCACTTTCACGCTGCTGCAAACTGACAAACAGGCTGATGGGATGTCAGATGTGTCCAAACAAAAGCTGAAGCCAGTGCAGGATGAAGGACCGGACACCCGAGAGCAGCTTCTGAGCCACCTCTCTGTAATCCTAAAGTGAAATCCCTGTAAGACTTAGAAATCAATGGCCTTTTTTGGGTGATCGCAGCAGCTTACAGGATATTTGCTGCTTTGTTTATGGGGCATAAAGGCTCCCCCACCCTTTACCTGGCTCATTACGGCTTCAAAAATCTATATGTGATTAGACACAAGATGCAAATACCAACATCTAAAAAATTAGCCTCAACAATGGAAATGAGACAACGTATCGACATAAGGGTGGAGCCAAAGGCTTTAACTGTGCCCAAAGGGATGACACTAAACCAGAGCGCTAACTTGCCAACGAGTGTGCTCTCCTCAAACGGCTGCTACTGTTTTACTGTGCAAAAGGTAAAAGGAAATACATCTTTGTTTTTTTTTTTTATAAAACATATGTACAATCACTATGTAATCAGCAATTTCAGCACAGTTTAGGTGACAGTATGAGGCCATAACACAAACACAGCCATCTGTTTTGCACTACTGCAGGGAGCTATTTCTGTGCACTCACCTATACAGACGTCAATCTTGCCCTTGATAGCGGCCTCATGTAGCGGTGTGTAGTTCCAGTTGTCTCGAGCATTAGGGTCAGCGCCCTGGCAGAGGAGCAAGGACACCACCTGGAACGGCAGCCACAGCAGTTCCATTAAAGCCTACAGAGCTCAAAAATAAGCGCCTAAAGCACTCTTGGAATGATTTGTATGGAAATGCATATGTTTAATGTTGTTTTAAGGGTGGGGACGGAAGAAAATATCATTGCACAGAACTATGATGATATATTGTGTTAATAAACATTTTAAAGCAGTGAATCATATTTTTATTGAGAATTTAGATGCAAACATTTAGTGTGTATGTCATCTGCGTGGTTGCAATTCAAACTCCAACCCTTGGGTAAATGACCTGTATTTGATAAAGCGCCTTCTAGAGTCCTGGAACCCCCCAAGGCGCTTTACAACACAATCAGTCATTCACCCATTCACACACACATTCACACACTGGTGGGGATGAGCTACAATGTAGCCACAGCTGCCCTGGGGCGCACTGACAGAGGCGAGGCTGCCGAGCACTGGCGCCACCGGTCCCTCTGACCACCACCAGCAGGCAACGTGGGTTAAGTGTCTTGCCCAAGGACACAACGACAGCGACAGACTGAGCGGGGCTCGAACCTGCAACCTTCTGATTGCGAGGCGAGCATTTAACTCCTGTGCCACCATCGTGGCTTGGGTGGCAGCAGTTTTTCCTGCCTTTATTCTGACAGAACAACTAGATCTTGTGATAACTGATGATAAAATTGTACTTGTCAAGGAATCTTCTGGACTGAGTTTTCCAGTTAAATTCAGTCTTAAGAATCGAAGAATGTTTTCTAGGTTCAAACGTCTTGTTCGGTGGGTTTTTCTGGAACTCTGCTAGTTTGTCCTAAAGTCAAAGTGGTAGCAGATGTTTCTTCTCTGATATTTTGGAGCAGAGAACCTCTCACACCAATGGTGTTCTGTTGCTAAATACGCAAGTGTGTAATGAGTGGAGGACCCTAGGAAATTTGGAAGTGTGGTGGTTCGGTGAGACCTACAACCGGATTGTTCAATCATTGTTTTCGATACGAGCCGTGTTATTGGCGGAGGTTTTTAGACAAATGCAAGAGAACCACTTCATATGGATATCTAAACTATGTTAGAATGTTAAGAAGCATGAAAAAATACCATACCATCATTTGTTAAGCGCTTTCAACACAGCCATGCAGCTGACCAAAGTGCTGTACAATTAAAAACAATCAGCTAAATTATAACATTTGAAAGTGCAGTTAAAAAGAAGAACTAAAACTAGAGCTGGCAATTAAATCATAAAATACACAAATGTAGGCAATATAATGAAAAGGAGAAAAACTCTTCAGGCTTAATAATAAAGTCAGGTTTAAAAGAAGAAATGACTAAAAAAAACAGACAATTAAAAACCTTAAAATATACAGAAGTAAAAATAAGCAATCAATGGGATGGAGGTAAGCCTATAGACATGATATTAAAACCAGATTTAAAAGCTCCAAGCCAAGGAGAAAAAGTGTGTTTTCAGTCTGGATTTAAAAGCTGGGATTGAAGGCGGCAGCCTAACGTGGAGAGATTTTGGTCTGCATACAGAGAAGGCCCTTTCACCGCTGGACTTCAAGTGTGCCTTAGGAACCGTGAGGAGGAGCTGATCCTCAGACCTCAGGGCACGAGGACGGTGGTAGCGGTGGAGCAGCACACTCAGGTGAGAAGGGGCTTGACCATTCAGAGACTTAAAAACGAAAAGAAGAATTTTAAAACGAATCCTAAACTGGACCGGCAACCAGCAAAGGGATCGGAGAATTGGTGTAATGTGATGCCTTCTGTTAGTTCCAGTCAAGAACCTTGCTGCTGCATTCTGAACCAGCTGGAGTGTGGACAGCGCTGCTTTGCTAATGCCATAAAGGCAGGAGTTAGAATCGCCGAGCCGGGATGTAATAAAGGTGTAGACCATGGATTCTAGAGGGCGTTTACTCAGAATAAGCTTGAGTTTGGAAATGCGCCTGAGGTGGAAAAAACAGGATTTCACTCTGTGCTGTTAACCTGAGCGTCCATCTTTAACCTGAGCGTCCATCTTTAACCTGAGCGTCCATCTTTAACCTGAGCGTCCATCTCTAACCTGAGCGTCCATCTTTAACCTGAGCGTCCATCTTTAACCTGAGCGTCCATCTTTAACCTGAGCGTCCATCTTTAACCTGAGCGTCCATCTTTAACCTGAGCGTCCATCTTTAACCTGAGCGTCCATCTTTAACCTGAGCGTCCATCTTTAACCTGAGCGTCCATCTTTAACCTGAGCGTCCATCTTTAACCTGAGCGTCCATCTTTAACCTGAGCGTCCATCTTTAACCTGAGCGTCCATCTCTAACCTGAGCGTCCATCTTTAACCTGAGCGTCCATCTTTAACCTGAGCGTCCATCTTTAACCTGAGCGTCCATCTTTAACCTGAGCGTCCATCTTTAACCTGAGCGTCCATCTTTAACCTGAGCGTCCATCTTTAACCTGAGCGTCCATCTTTAACCTGAGCGTCCATCTCTAACCTGAGCGTCCATCTCTAACCTGAGCGTCCATCTTTAACCTGAGCGTCCATCTTTAACCTGAGCGTCCATCTTTAACCTGAGCGTCCATCTTTAACCTGAGCATCCATCTTTAACCTGAGCATCCATCTTTAACCTGAGCGTCCATCTTTAACCTGAGCGTCCATCTCTAACCTGAGCGTCCATCTCTAACCTGAGCATCCATCTTTAAGGCCGTGTCCATTAGGTTGGAAACAGTCATGTTCACATGAGAGGAGAGAGAGTGGAGGTCAGGTGACGGAGCATCTCTAACACTATCCGGACTGAAAACAATGTTTTAAGCTGACTTGTTTTGCAGATTTGCCATTGCGGCTTTAATGGCATACATGAGGATTACAGTAAGAATGTCCTCTTATTTGGCCTCTTTTGGATATTTTTATTCCGGCTGATTTTAGGGATTTTTTTTAACATTATTTCTTCCTGTGAAGAGACTTTTTAGTAATTAGAGAGATTAGCTAAACAACTTTTAGAATCAATGCTCTCAGCATCAAACACAAGGATCATATGAAACCATTTTGATTGTCGCATTTTGAAATCATGACATTGATTTTTTTTTATTATTTTATCATCAAGTATTATGAACTATTTATTTATTACCTCATTTTGAATTCTGACAATAGTTTACTTCAGATTATGCAAAAGTGCATTTAGTCAAAATTAGAAAATTATAATCTGAAGAGTTAAAGTGAAAAAAAAAATAAAACACAATAGAAACCATGTCTGTCCCTCCAAGCCCTAACTGTTTTATCATGCCTGCAAGATCTTTCTCTGTATGTACTTTAAGCAGTCTGTGGGTTTGCAGAGCAAATCCCAGAATGCACTGGGGCAGGCTGCGCCGTCACAAGCCCAGACGCTCTTCCTCCCAGCTGCAGTCTGGTGTCGTCAGATGAGAGGCAGAGTCTATCGATGAGCTTAGAGCCAACTTCACTATGAAGTTTGTTGATGTTGAAGCAAAGAAAAAGTTGAAAATCCTCAATAAATTACTTTGATGGTGGCTCTAAATATAAATATCTAAAAACTCTAAAATAAGAGTATGAGCTGCAGATGTTTAGCCTCTTTTTCACAAACGATCTCTATGTTCAGATCCGACAACTTGCTTGAATTTCGAAATAACCTTTATTTATGTTTAAGTTTTTGTTATTGCTGTTATTTTAAGCTGTACAAATCATAGCTCTTCAGATTATATTAAAAATGTTCAGATATTTACATGAGTCCTTTGATTTAAAACATATAAATAAGAAATGAATCATTCCTTTTCATCCTTTACATACTGACAAAACTCAGCTAAATGGAGTTTGGCACACGCGTACTGAATCATAACTGAATTTAAGTAAAGCTTCTCACTGATGATAGTAATGTTCAGCAAAATACAAACACTTTGCATTTCAGAAACACAAAAAAAACTTTTGAGAAGTTTAGAAAAAAAAGTATACAAAACAATTGGATTGTTTTTGTCTCCAACTAGAAGATGTGACTTCATTTTAACTGCAAATCCTAACCTAGCAGAGTCTCCAAAGCCCTTAATATAAGCTACAGTGTTGGGAGTAATGCGGTACAAAAGTAATTAGGCCCGAGCAGTGAAGCTGCGAAGGCCTATTGTATCTGCTCCGTTTATTATTATTATTAGGCCCGAGCAGTGAAGCTGCGAAGGCCTATTGTATCTGCTCCGTTTCTTCTTATTATTATTATTATTATTATTCTTTTTTCTTCCGCGTCTTTGAATGGCCTTTAGGGGGTCTTAGCATATCCAAAAAGTCACCAAATTCTGGCCCAATATAGAAAGTGCGTGAAATTTACGTATTTCACTGGCGATGTGAAAGTTCGTAAAAAATTGGCTGAACAGCGCCCCCTAGAAAGTGAAAAATACCCCTCTCCATAAAGTTTAGTTTATCGTACAGTTATGAAATTTGGTACACTTGTAGTACTCGACAGTCCGCACAGAAAAGTCTCTTGCAACCATGGTCTATATCACACAGGAAGTCGGCCATTTTAGGTTGAAATGGCGATTTTTAGCCATTTTGGCCATTTCTAGGGTCTATATTTGGTTGAACAGTTTGGTCATTTTTCGCACGATCGTCTCAAAAATTGTGTGCGATCGAACAGAAGCGATGGCCGATTCAAATGAGAAAATAAAATTGACTTTTCGTAAATACTGAAGGGGCGGGGCCAGGCCTCAAAGTTCGAGCACTCGCCAAGAATATTCAAATTGCTATAATTTCATAAATGAAAGAATTACAGTTAAAGTAACATTCTATGGACAATCGTCATCGCCCCCCGAAGACAAATGAATGGTTGATTGGTGATGTCACATAAGCCCCGCCCCCTCAGTACTTAAAAGGTCAAGTTTTACTGGGAAATTTTCCAAAATTCGCCCTTTCAAATAATCATCCCAAATTTGTAGCTGGTAACTGAAGACAAGTTGGGGTTTCTTGGCGTCACTTTATGGGAGTTTTCTGCAGAAGGCGGGGCAGTGGCGGCACGGCGAAATCAGGCGTACCGACGTGGCCTTAC